ATGTACTGGCAATCAACTTTTTTCTCGCAGAAAATGTGTTTGTGTTCTCTAAAATTCATGCCTCACTGAAAAAAAGAGTGGCTTGGATCTAGAGTCCAGACTCTTAGTAAAATTGACAAGAAAAAATAATTTCGATTCAATCTGATTTTTCCTTGAATCGAGGAGCCGAGCCTCTTGATTTAGGCGGATTTCTTTTTGATTAAAGCAAAAAGTCCGATTGTAATCAAGAGTATTTTTTCTTTTCTATGTTTTTAGGGTCTGGACTCTAGATCCAAGCTACTTTCTTTTTCCAGTGTTTTTTTTTTGGGGGGGGGGGCAAAAATACCAGATTATGCACCTCTCCAGACTGTTCTCGTTACGGATTGATAAGGCCAGGGAATCCTAAAATTTCTTTTGTTCATCGAAACTCTGAAATCCTCACCTCCTCGTGTTCACGTTTTTGGTCGATCGTTTGTCCTTCTTGTATATCTTCTCCTGCATCGTCCAAACCGGCTGCTATCGTTCAATTCTTTCCTACTTGCCAATTTTCCGTCGCCGTACCCCGTGCTTGGATGGACATGAGAGGAAACCATCGCTCAGTTCGGCATAGGGTAGTAACAGGCTTTCAATTTTCTCTCGCGTGTCGGTGGACGTAAAAATAAACAAGTAATCAAAAAGCTGGGTGGGTGGCTGAAAGCAGTTTAGCATCAGAAATGAGGAACGCCATGTTGCCAACCACAAATGCCACCCTTTGACCCAGTAAGTTCCTTCGAGGCTCTGCAGTGAGCAGAGCTTGAAGCACAATAAGAAGAGTGTAAAAGTGCTTTTGGACCTTGTGGGAGTCCTCTCATGATTTACAACCTGCCCAAAAATTTAACTTAGTAATGAAAATTATCTCTGTACAAACCTCAACAAGTGCTTGCTTTGCAGTGAAACAGCTCCACGACCCTGTTTTCCTCCCATCCTGTTTCTTTTGATCGAAATATGATGTGACTATTTTAAAGTGTGTTGGTTCGTGCTGACTCGATTCTAAAAAATTAGAGGAAAGATTGAAAAATTGATATTTTCCAGAGCTAAGGAGAAAAATCTAGTTTTTCCCTAAACAGAATGTGATCAAACCCTGCCCTAGAAGCAGTGGCTGTTGAGAAAAGTTGTAAAAAACTCGAGAATTTCAAGAGATCTCTTAAAATTTACTTTAAAACCACTTGACAATTACGTAAAAAACTCTTGAAATATTCGTCTTAGGAAACCTTTTTTTGGGCTTTTTTACATAAATTTGAAGACAAATTTTAAGTAAATTTTTTACGTAAATTTTAAGTAAAATTTACATTTTTTTTTCTTAACCTCCTGCGGGCAAAAACGAGGGAAAAAAGCGGTGAACAGAAAAGTATAAAAAGAACAGTTGCAGCCCATAAAAATTGAGGATATAGTTTCTTGAAATTTACCTAAATTTTACGTTTTCTTTTAATTAAAATAACCCTATTTTTTTCACTTAAAAGAATTTCCCAAAATGGTTTCCTAAAACGAGTATTTTAAGAGTTTCTTACTTAAAATTTACAAACTCTTAAAATTTACAAGTTTTTACATTTTTTTGGACAACTTTTTGTCGAACTTTTTCTAAGAGCCCTTGCTACTAGGGAGGGTTTCATTCAACCTTGGGAATTCTTCCCTGGAAATCAGGGCGGAATCAGAAGGAAAAAAATCAAGCATTCTAGACACCAATCTTGGTATCAAGGAGTCTTGCAAAGTTGCAGAGCCCAGCCGGGAAGACGCGCAGAAAAGGGCGCGGGCTCACCGCGTGGCAAGCGCGGAAAATTGTGAAAAGGGTAAATTAAGGCGAGGAACGGTGGAGGCCGTTGATCCAATTTGCATTCAACATGGAGAGCTGAATTTCAGCTCTTCGCCAACGCCTCTTCGGACTCGAGCCCACAAGTGATTTCGTCGCATGCCTCCCACGCGAAATATCGAAGTTCGATCCGGGGCCGCTTTCGAGGGATCGAAAGTTCCCCCGGCCGGCGATGACGGTGGCGGTGTTGGGGTGCATTGTAAATATTCCCTGTGTCTACGTCTACGTCGCCTCGTCCCTCTCAGCTCATTTAGTGCGTATTGCACATCGAAAATTATCAACTCCACTTTCGCCCTCATCGTCATCGCCCGCTTGGAGTTTACTTTTGCAGCCGGCCCACGGTGGATCGAGTCAATGCATAGGCGGATCCAGCAAATTGGCAACATTATTTTTCTCCATTTAAACCTATGGAGATGTATCGATTCTTGGTGGGGCCAGGTGCTCTGACAAGAATCGATTATTTAACATAGGTTTAAAGGGAGGGAATCCAGTGTTGCCAAATTGCTGGATCCGCCTCTGAGTCAATGGGAGAATTCGGACAAACTTTGGAAACTTTAAAAGCTTATGACTCCATTATTACAAAACGCGGAGGTCTTGAAAATGGTCCCATTGGTTTTCTCGTAAAATTTTCTCTGGAAAACACCCGTTTAACTTGAAAATTTCACGAAAGAAACATCGAAATTTGCAGTTTTTATCAAAAATTGTATATCCGACCTCTCTCATGAACTCCACCCACTGTGCGGGCCTGGCTCTTCAGCGAGGCTACCAACCGTTTGGGTGGAGCGGATAGGCGGTGAGGTGGGGTTATAGGGGTGTCTATTTGGCCTCCTCCAGAAAATGTGAAAAATTTTGCCAAATAAATGCGCCGTATACAGAGTGTCTTGGACCGGAAAAACCGGAATGTTGGAAAATTAGGGTTCTCTTTACCGAAAAGATATGGGAAACAAAGAATCATAATTGATTTTGGCAAAGTTAGGTAACGCCAAATATTATCTTCGATGCAAAATCGTTCACTTTATTACTGATTTTTGCCATAAAAATCAACAGTCACTCGCAGGAAGATCAACTATGTACATCATGAAAGTCACGTCGCAATCATGGCCACGGTTAGTGTGATGAAACTGGAAAAGAGAAAAATCTTGGCTTTCATCAATTAATTTGATTAATAGCTGAGACTACATCTCTTCCATATCTTGAATGGAACACGGTGGTGTGAGACTTCACTTTGTCCGAAAGGCGAGTTCCATTTATCATATATGTTTCTATTTTTTGGTCCCAATCAGAATCTTGTCCGAATGAAAGCGCTCCGGCGAAGCGAAGCGATGACGCTGAGATACAGTCGCGACTCCAGCTTTTGTGACTCAGCGGTCACGTTTGATTTCTTGAATGGTACAACGTGACTTTCCCGCCGGCAAGAATCCTTTCCCTGTCGACTATAGGGGATGTGTGAAAAGCAAACAGAAAACAAAACCATATTTTTCTCTATAACTAATTGAAGCTCGCCCTAAACTAGTTCTAGGTGTGTAAACTTATCAAAGCAGATAGGTAGATATAATTTCACCTTGACCTAATTTTTATGATACTGCAAACATATGGACCGAATCTCATAGAAACGCACCAAGTCGCATCTCGGGAAGAAATGAGTAGAAAAGAGTTCTGAACTAAAGTAGTCGTAAATTTTCGCCTGTCGGATTTTCGAATCAAGTCGGGAGAAAATTGACTTCACTTTGCAATGCGAAACTTCAATTTCTAGCTCACTTGCGAAAAAAATTATGTGCCTAGGGTAACTAATGCTACATTTGTTGTTTCTTAACCGAGTAGGAAATTGCAGTTCCGAATCGCAAAATGTGGTCCAAATATTTTTCACGTGAATATATGTCGTTAAACTTTGACCTTACATTGAGTCTTATGGATTAATCAAACCTCAAACCTTTGTACTCTTGGTTCCAATACGGACTGCATTCTGCAATTAGGAACTATGTATACAATTACTGCCTCATACGTAAAAACACCTAACTAATGGCACATGTGATGAGACAGATAATGTAGTTCCTTAGTGCGAAATGCAGCTCATATTTGATGCTACTGGTGCGTTTTTCTTGAACTCGGTTTTTTTAAACTATTAAACTGAGCGGGCTTTGATGAATAAAAATTGGATGACAAATTATCGTGTCTCTGATTCAAAGTGATTGCTTATTTGCTTATAAAAATATAATTGATAGTACACAATGAAGATTGAATTAAATGTGTACTTTAGCGGCATATTTAGGCGTTCAGTCCGTATTATAACCTTTCTCGAAAAGTTGTTTCTCTTATTATTCTCCTGCTTTATTTTTTCTTCCATCTTGCGAACGCCCTGCTTTTCAAAACTTCGATGGGGAGAAGGAAATCTCTCAAGAATTAATCCTTAATACGTCACTTAAACTTTAAAAGGATGAGCCATTTGATCTCGTTAATGTTTAAGCGAAACGAGGGACAAGCTGCCGGGGAAACTGATGTGAACAACCGTCTGAAACTCATTAAAATTATTAGCACCCCTTAAGTGCAGCCTGCTACTCTCTTTTAGTTTTAAATTCTCGAGCTTTTCTCCCCTCGGTTCCTTTCTTTCGGAGCATTAGTGATCGATAAAAATCCGGTCATCTCTCTTTCACTTCTCCCGCTTTTTCAACTTTATAGCATAATTTTCTAATCGTAAAAAAGCGACAACGAAGCTTTTCCTTTCAAAGTTTTGTCACCATCAAAATGAGCTCAGTTTATAAATTGACACCGCATTACGTAACTTTCAACCGGTTTATAAGCTGAATAATTATTCAATTGATCGCAAGTTTAATATTTAACGACTGATTATACATTGTCATTACTCAGAAACTTCTGTCTTAACATGTGGGAACGTTATTTGCCTCACCGCAACCAAGTGAACAATCTTACGAATCTGATTGGACTTCACCTAATATTAATCACACAATAATTCACTTCCAATTGAACTTAATTTTGCAATCAGGAGCTACATTTTTTGGCTCATCCGTAAAAACACGTATGCACGTATGGAAACTAATGGTGCTTACGTTATTCCTAAACTAAAGCAAAAATTGTAGTTCCGAATTTGAAAACCTAGCCCTATCGGTCGATGAATCAGCCAATTAGAATTTAATGTAATTTTTTCCCTTTTTTTCAGGTCACCAGTGGTTGAGGAACAACTTGGGAGTGGAGCTGAAAACCGGGTGGGCGGTAGATCCGTTCGGTCACGGCTCGACGGTGCCGTACCTGCTGAAGGCGGCCGGTCTGTCGGGCGGCGCGGTGATCCAGCGGATCCACTACGCGTGGAAGCAGTGGCTGGCCAAGGAGGAGAGCGGCGACTTCATCTGGCGACAGAACTGGGACGCCGACGGGCACACCGACTTCCTCGTCCACAATCAACCCTTCGACATCTACTCCATCAAGCACTCCTGCGGGCCCCACCCCCAGGTCTGCCTCAACTTCGACTTCCGGCGCATCCCTGGCGAGTACACAGAGTTCTCCATCCGCGCCGTCCCCATCGACAAGAAGAACGTCCGCCAGAAGGCCGAGCTCCTCCTGGAGCAGTACGGCCGGGCCGGCTCCCTCGTCCCGCACAACGTCGTCATGATGCCTCTCGGCGACGACTTCCGCTACAACTACGACGTCGAGTGGGAACAGCAGTATCGCAACTACGTCCAGCTCTTCGACTACATCAACGCCCACAACACCACTTACAACGCCGAGTTTCGCTTCGGCACGCCGGCCGACTATTTCAAACTCGTCAAAGAGCGACTCAAGCTCCTCGACATCGACCCCAAGACCCTCAAAGGGGACTTCTTCGTCTACTCGGACATATTCACCGAGGGCCGCCCCGCTTACTGGAGCGGGTACTTCACCACGAGGCCCTTCTTCAAGATCCTCAGCCGGGAGCTGGAGCATAATCTTAGATCCGCCGAAATCCTCTACACGCTTTCGCTCAACTACATGAAGATGTTGGGCATCAGCGCCAGCGTCAAGATTCTCGAGCGGGACTTCGAGAAGCTGTCGCGGGCGCGGCAGAATCTAGCCTTGTTCCAGCACCACGATGCCATCACGGGCACGTCGAAAGGCTTCGTCATGCACGACTACGCCTTGAAGCTCTTCGAGAGTCTCCAAGAGGCGTCGTTCGTCCAGAGCTACTCCGTACAAAACCTCCTCCTAGCTTTCCAGTCCAAGAAAGCGTCGTCGGTTTCGCCGTCCCTGCGCTTCGTAGTGCCGTCGGCCGAGCGGGAAACCTACGAGCGGCTCGCCGAAGACGTGCTCCTGGCGTTCTCGCCGAAGAGCACGCGGCGGAAAGTGCTCGTCTTCAACAGTCTGGCCCAAGTCCGCTATGACGTCATCAAGCTGAAGATCTCCGATCCCAACGTCAAAGTGAGCGACGTCACCGGGAAACCGGTCGTCTCGCAGATCAGTCCGTACCTGAACATAACGGACTCCGACATGAGCGGTAGTTCGGTCATTACCTCTAGATTCCTTTACGAATTGGTATTCATCGTTGAAGTGCCTCCATTATCCTTGTCGGTCTTCGTTGTCGAGTCGACGACGAAAGCCGAAGCCAAAGGCTCGATATCGACCCTGTACTGCAAGCGATGTTCGCAAGAGCACATCTTCCCGATCAAGGTCATCCAGCCGGGCGACGTCCAGCTCGAGAACCACCATCTGAAGCTCCTTTTCGACGCCGCGACGGGCTTCCTCAAGGCGACGACCCAGAAGACTACCGGGAAAGTGACGCAGTCGAGCATCCAATTCGCGGCCTACAACTCGGCTCAGTTCCATTCCGGGGCGTATCTCTTCATGCCGGACCCATCGACGAACGAGATCGAACGCGACGTACTGGCCGAGTACACGGACAAGCAGCGGATCGTCATCGTCTCCGGCCCGATCTACTCGGAGCTCGTCGTGGTCTACGGCTCCTTCCTGCAGCACCGCACCCGGCTCTACCACTCCAAGTCGCCCCTCGGCCACGGGATCTACGTCGAGAACATCGTAGACTTCGACAAACCGCCCAAGAACCGAGAGACGGAGCTGTTCATGCGGATCGTTAGCGACATCTCCAACGGCGACACTCCCGAGTTCTACACGGATGCCAACGGGTTCTCCATGCAGAAGCGGGTCAAAGTAGACCGGATCGGAATCGAGGGTAACTACTTCCCTATCACGACGTGCGCCTACATCCAGGACGCCAGCCGGCGGCTCAGCATCTTGGTGAACCACGCGCAAGGGACGGCCGCCTGGGAGCCCGGCTGGCTCGAGGTCATGCTGGACCGACGTACCCTCTACGACGACGCCCGGGGCATGGGCGAAGGAGTTGTCGACAACAAACGGACTCTCATGAAGTTCTGGGTCCTCCTCGAGGATGTCACATCACCTACCCACCTCACGACTCCATCCCTCTCTTCCAACTATTTGTCCAACTCGTTGCTGTACCCGTCCAACGTTTTCCTGCTGGACACAAGTAACATGGATGTGGAGACAAACTTGGTGTTCATCTCGAAGCCTTTCCCCTGTGATGTCCATTTGATGAATCTCAGAACGTTGACTGACCCAGTTTACGGCTCGCAATTTCCGTCTAATTCGGCGTTGATGATTTTGCACAGACAAGGATTCACCTGCAGTGTAGCGAGTAATATTCAGTTGTCCAAGTGTAATTTTAGAGCCAGCACTGAGAAGTCGGCGCTTTACGCTGATACGAACTTCACGCATCTGAAACTCAAATCAATCACTCAAACTTCACTTACCGGTATGCAGCAGCTCAGCGGAGAGTTAGAATCCTTCAACCAATTAAATTTATCTCCCATGGACATACTAACTGTCAATTTAACCTTTTCTTTGTAGTTATAAATATCAGCCAATTTGTTTGCAAATTACATTGGATTACGTAACGAGAGACTGAATACTTAAAATCATATCCTTACTCTTTTAAACAAATTTTGCCCATCACTCTTTCACTGCCTAGAACTATCTTGAGTTAATTTAGACTCTAAGTTCTCTCTCTGGAAGTTCTCCTCCTTCAAAAATTACAATTTCGGCTTCTTTGTATTTTAATGGATTTTTTGAGGAATTTTAATCATCCCTATTTTTAAACCTGTTTTGCCGGTCTTGCCAGGGAACAAAAAAATAATGTTTGTTACATTTGTACAGATTTTAATAGTGTTGAACGCTCTGTTACCTTTTTTCGTTTCAGGGTTTTCAAAAAGCTGTTTCTTCCATTAAGCAATTCACATATGTTGTAGAGATATAAACGTTTTTGTTAAATTAGTCAAATGATCATCTTCATTGAAGATTTGTTTCATTATTATTATAATTCATTGTACCTACCTACAGTTCTTTTTCTATTTCTGTTTTTAATTTATTTTTCTTCATTTTTTTCTCTTTATATCTGAGCATAGTATCATGAATTTTTTCATTTTCTCAAAATTTTCAGAAGTAGATTTTTCCGGGTTTTTGTGCATCCCTCATTTTGTCATCGACTGCATTCACAAATCGATGGCCACAGTGCAAAACCACGTTCTCCATTATGGAGTCTCAAGTTTTCTGCTCCTATTTTTTTTTTCCATAGAAACATGCCAACTTTATAGTTTGAAATTCACGCAAAATATTCTGCCAACAAAGAAGATAAATCCAGGAAGTTGTCAAGAAATGACGAAAAAGAATAACAATAAGTCTGCAACATCGCAAACAGAAGTACGTGGTTTCGCACTTCAGCCATCGATATGCTTATTAAATTTGTATGGCCAAACATAGCTTGTTTATTTTTAACTTTATTACTTGTGAAACATCGTTTCGATTAGAACTATTCAATGATCATTGACTTCCATTATAATCACTTTTCGATTTTCCTCTGCAGGGTAATTTATCGTAGAGGTGCATCAGGTGCATGCATTGCGGCCGGCGGGAAAGTTTTTTTCCTTCCCACTCAAAATAGATTTTTTCATTTATTTTCTACCATAATATTTCCTCCAGTTTCTCATAGATCTATTGTTGAGACTGTGAGAGCCCCAGTAGCCTTCCTTTTCCTCACAATGCACGCCTTAAAATATCTCCAATTGCGTTTCAGAGGGGTGGAGACCTCAAATTTTATGGAGGGAGGTCTCCTGAACCACCCCTATCGGGTAAGTTTACCACTAAACCCCCCCTCTCTAGGGAGATGCACTTCAAGGAGCCCGCACCCACAGACTGCGCTAAAAAATCTTATATACGGCCTTACATGAGGGTATGAAAGCTCCTAAAAGCTCACGATAGTCAATGATCATGAAAACTCAAAATGGTTTCAGACGTTCTTGAAACAATTATGATGCACAGAACATGAACTGGCTATGGCTGCATGTATTATTACCATAAGTTTTAATCAGTCACATTCTTTAATTTAAGATAATATAAACCCACATTGAAAGTTTTTCGAAACATCAAATGCGGTGACAAGTTCCTTCTCATTTTTGAGCAGATTTTTTTTCTCTCCTTTTCTGTTCAGATGAACCAACTTACAGCATCTGGAAGGTGTACTTAAACTGCTATTAGTTTGTACATCAATTTACAGTCATTTTTAATTTTTCTTGATCTCAAGCAATAGACCTATTGTCTTTGTAACATTATTTGAAATGACATCATATTATCACTATATTATGAGTATTAATTAATTTTGTTTTTATTGTAAATACAATTTTTGAATTTTACCAGTAATTTACTCATACCAAATACTGTAAAAAGCTTTGTAAAAACTGTACATGGATAAATGTTTCAATACAACGAATGTATTTTTCGTAAGTAGTTATTTGTACATTCCGTGATAGTAAAAACTTAGTTTCATCTGTGTCCAAGCAATGGCACATACGTAGCTTAACATCACAATTTCATCACTCATCTTCATGATACTATGGAGTATTATGAAGTACAGTTGCATACTATGAGTAATATGTTTGAATAATTGTCGTGAAAAATGAGCTCAAATTTTTCGATAATTTGGCATTTGTGACGAATACTTTTGAAAGTATTGAACATTTTGCATATCCTTGAAAAGTATTGTAGTTTCCTTATGGCATTAGCATATATATTTTACAGACAGCAAGTAAAGCAATTAGAAAGGGAAACAAAGCTTTAAAATTTTTTGAAAAACTCAGGATAATTTGGCTAGTGACCCTCGCTTTCTTCAACTTACAAAATGTGTCTAAAACTTGAAAACTGAAGTCAAAAATTGCATTGTTGAAAAGATCAACGACCAATCTACAAAATAGGACCAACCCAGATCAGTCCTCAGGAAATTAAAAAATTCAGTAATGAAATTTGAAAACCTAGTCCTAATATCTGAAGGAGTATGTACAGGCTTATCTCTGAGTGGAAATTTAGTTAGGTGCACGTTCGTGTTGCAACTCCTTAACGGAAAAAGTAATTTTTTATTCTTGAAAGATGTAGTTTTGTTTTAACAATGTAGTTTGTCTCTTATTTCAACTTCCTTCCTGTTTACCTGAGCTTTATTGCACAATTCAATGGAAGGTGAAAGACTGTTTGCTATTGCCTACGATCAAATATTCTATGTCTTCTCTTTCTAGAATCACTGCTGTCTACTCTTCATTCTAATTGTGTTTGTGATCCAGTGTAATGGAGGCATAGGCGAATTGAAAGATCTAATTTGCATCAGAACAAGTTTTCTCAATTTAATGGAGAATATTTTTGATATACTTATAATGGCATATGGTACATCTTCATTTGTTCCAGTGCTCATTATTTATGCTTGCCATGAACGTAGTTGGTTGTTCAAGATTTTTGGAGTGTATTCAAATGAAACTAACCGTCAACTAGTGAAACAAGTACCAATTGTTGATGTTTTAAATGCTTCCCCCGATTGTTTTAATATCTCACTCTCTCTTCAAATACTCACTGTAATTTCCCTCTAATGCTGTATTTTATCGCTGTAATGAATGATAGAAACAGCAATGAGCTGCTTGATAACATCTAAATTAGGGGAAAACATAATATGTTTCATCTTCAAAATCTTATGCAGAAAACAATTCTCACAACTGAGATATCAATCCTTAAACAAGATATTAATGATTATTTTAACAAAGATAAAATAGAATTTAAATCATACAAATGATGTCCTTTGTATTTTTGTCATTTACTCAATATTAATTGTAAACACTCATATCTTAATCAGGAGTTAATTACCAGATTTTTCCTTGTGTCATTCGTTCACCTCGTGAAATTTTGAAGAGGAGTTATGTACTTTAGTTCTTACTTTGTCTAGAGAAAACAAATTCTGCTCCTAAAACAGCTCCTATGAATTCAGTTCTCTATCAACTTTTGAGTGCCAAAAAATTCAAATTTTTTATGATAGATTTGGCCACTGTTTTCTACAATAATCAGTAATTATGACACTGTTGAGATGGATACGGTAACACAATCACTGAAAAACTGTCCATCTACTGAGCTTTGAACTAATAATGGCATCAAGAAATACAGAATCTGAATTTAAAAAGTGGGAGTGTGCACACATTGATTTGTCAATTTTGGAATTTCATAAATTCTCTCCAAAATATTCACATCAGAGATGAGCATTTTTTGTCACAATCGGATTCAATTTTTAAGGAATGAAGTAGGAAGTTCATACTGTCTTGAGTGCTTGGTCAATTTACAGCGCCAACTTTTGACACATGATTTGCGTTTGCTATTACAAATCTTTTCAAATTACATTAACCATCCTTAATATACAATATGAGGAAGAGTTATTTTGTATCCTATCTCTGACAGGTAGGGAATTGTACTAAAACTTCATGGAGAATTAGTCTTTCTTCAAAAAAATTTGTCAGTCTCATATTTGCCTTTTAAAATTAAGAGTTGCACTTAGGATGCGCCTTTGTATGAAGGAGATAATCTACCTAACACCTTAATAAAAACATGATAACTTTCAATTTTTTGTGAACAATCGGAGCCACAAAGCCTTTTTTCTGCTGACGAAAGTGTCTAGACTGTCTCTGAAAGAGAGAATTTTTCTTAGATTTATACCTAATACACACAACAACAACAACGTTGTTTTTTTTAAGAATGAAAGAAATGGTCATGATTTTTTCAATTTTTTTTTTTATTTTTATATTTCCAAAGTTTACCATTTTAGCTCCTGAGGCAACAAGTGTACTTTTCTGTGTATCAGTATCAGTTTTTTATTCGAGATTTTAATTTATATTTTAATTTAGATTGTTTTAAGTTTTGCGTTGTGTATCTTTGTTGTCAGCTTTTAAGTGGAAATTATTAGGTACACTGTTGAAAACCTTTCAAGGTCGCCTATTGGACCTCCCTTTGCAATGAGGAACTATTATTTCTGACTTGTTACAGGAACAACGTGTGTGCCAATAGTTTTCCTAAGCAGATATATACTTTTATGGATTATCCAGAAACAGAAGCTCCTTATTGCAAATTGGTGTCCAAGTGTGGCTCATTAACGTGAAAGAGGCTATAATTTTGTCCGGAAGAGAGACTCATTGTTCAGCAGAAGTCTGCACCACGAAACCTCATCAGGACGCGCTTGAATGCTCATCACTATACTCGTTTATTAGCAAGTCTAAAATTTAATCGCAGTAAATAATCCAATTCAACAAGACAGCAAAATCATTGCTCATCCATAGGTACCTTATTATTTAGGAGATTTGTTCTGATGTTGCTTTTTTTTTCTTTCCCTGCCATTTTTAAATTTTCAAGTTTATTTAATTTTGCTTATCATTAATTTCTGTCTTGGCAACCTGTGAGCTTGACATTTTTTTTTCTTGTTTAAACCTAGTGAACTAGACAGTTTTTATTTCTATTTTTTCCAGGATGGGAATATGTATCAAATCAAATAATTTCTGAAGATCTTTCTCCGTAACTTGCCTTGTACATAAATAAAACAAAATGTAATCAAAATTTGTCATAGACAAGATATTTCACCCCCAGTAAGATCGGTCTGTACTTAAAATCTTACAAATTAAACAAAAAATTAAGTTTTAAGGGCAAAAGAAAAAAAAAAGTTCATGGACAAGTAGTTTAACTCGCAAATTTTTAAAAGGACTTACAGTTTTCATACCTCTGGATAACAATTAGCTTATCCAAGGTCTTGATTGGCTGAGGCAGCTTCGTGAAAGTCACTTTTTCATTTGATCATGCAGTCTGTTTCTGCCCAGTCAGATGTTCTTGTCGTACACTTTTGCAGCTCATTGGACGCTATCTTTTTAAAATCCCTTAATCATCTTATTCTACATTAATCTCAAGTACTTATATTTCCCGTTTAATGAGATTATTTTTGTAAATTTTAGTGATCTTCTTTGTTTTCCTTTCAGCAAGGAGACAAAACATGAAAGATTGATTAATCATCACATTTTACCCGCCCGGCAAAATTACGTTGTGGCAACGTTGCCAAAACGTTGCAATTTCGCCATTTACGTATTCGGGCAACGTTGTGGTAACGTTGCCACAACGTGTAATTTTGTCAGCTTGCATGAACGTAATTGGCAATGTGTCTGCAATGTGTTTTAGCAACATAATGGGAATGTTGCAAAAATACGTTTTAGCAACATAATGGGAATGTTGCAAAAATACGGTGAAAAAATTTCGGTGATTTATTTTAGGAGTACTCTGCATTTTTCCTCCTAGAATTCAATGGAATTACTAGAATTCGGTGGACCGCAGAGAAGCGTTTCTTAGGCACCCGAAATTCACTCTAAGTCCGATAGTAGCCGCGCTCCGCCCGGGTTCCCAAGCGGGCTCCCATCGAAGTACTAACTACGCCCGACGTTGCTGAACTTCAGTGATCGCCCGTGTGTCGCTGCCACTCAGCTACGGACGCTCGCGTGATAGAGTATGGTTATTTAGCATTAATAAACATCCCTAGATCTGGTTCAATGATAGAAAGCAATGATATTCTTGCATTTCTGTGCATAATTCTACAACGAAGGATACTGAACATAATATTAGGAAGATCAAGTTTTTAAAAAAAAGGAGTATGAAAAAAAAATTAAAAAAGAATTGAATAAATATATTCATTTTATTTAAATAAAATTATTATTATTTTAATTATTTATTTAATTATATTACAATTATTTTTTATTATTATAATTATTTGGTATTTTTATTTTGTATTAAATTATTTTCTAATTATTTATATTTATTTTTTTTATTTTATTTTTTATTTTTAAATTATTTTTTTATTTTTTTTAATTTTATCTTCATTTGTATATTTTTATTGTTAATTTTTTTATTTTTTGAATTATCTATCAATTAATTTTTGTTTATTTTTGTATATACATATACATATACATATTTTTGCGACATTGTATGAGGGCGCATTCCCTTATATTGATTGGAGAAAATCATCTGTTGAGAAACAACAGAAAGGAGAACACCTGAAACAGTGGAAAAGTGTCCCCTCCGATTTGCAGCACAGCATCTGCTTGACCTCACATCTGAGTTCCAAGACCAAAATTACACAGGGATTGATACCTCACATGACACTATATGCGCATTTTAAAAAACCGAAATCCCAGAGGCCTTATTATGGCCGCCATTTTGAAATTTAGGCATTTTGGGGGGTGTTCCGGGGTCGGACCGTGGTAAACTTTTGGTATGTTGTTCAGGAGGACCTACTGATGACGTTTACATAGGAAAAGTTTGTTCAGCAATTTGTTCCGGGTCAAATCGTGTTTCTCCCTGACTAATAATGTTTAACAACGTTGTCACAATATATCTAAGAAATATTTATTGAAACGTTTTTTAATAATGTTCCAGAAACATTTCTAAAAACGTTTTGAAAATATTATCTAAAATATAATGTCAGGCAACATTGCTGAAACATTGCTTAAACGTTGCTGCTTTACCTTTACAAAGCAATATCATCAAAAATGTTGCCTTGCAACGTTGCGGCAACGTACACATTGCTCCCTTGCCGGGCGGGTAAGCTCTTAAGTTTATATTTTTTACAAATTAAAGAATGAAAAATTTTGAATTAGACAATTTTTATACTTATGTACTTGTCAGAAGGAAAGTAATTGTAATTTATATTTTGTAGTTGGTATATTTGTTACGGTAAGGTGTTGTTAATAAAAACTGTTCATTTTTACTAATCATGCCTTTCACTTTCTTCCCCTCCCCCTGTTTTTCTGCTTACTCTTTTCAATTAATTAGGTAAGTATCAGAGTTACATGAAGACTCATACAGATAACAGAGTTATATAAATGATACATATTCCTCAAAAACTAAGATGGTTATTTCATGTAAAATTGGACCTACTTTAACTGAAATGCACCAAGTCGCATCAAGTTTGAAGTGAGAAAAAGAGGTTCAAAGTTTTATTCCTTGAAGTTTAATACTTAGTTTCTCAATCATTTTTCCTCCTTTCAATTTTTTGGTCAGAATAATATGGATTCAGTGAATTTTTGACTTCCTCTCACCCTGCTTTTCTCCTTTTGAATTGGATATCATTATTGCATCGCAGTGAGAATCGTTGCACTCTTCGCTATTTGTTGAATCTCGTTAGATAAAATAATAAATGATTCGAGGCTGCATGCATAATTTTCTGTTTGGAAAGGACTTAAAATTGCTCTATCTAGAAATTGAAATCCCAAAATTTATCATCATGAATGAGCCCCCTATCATTAGAAACTTTTCTGTGTATGCCACCATGCATTACTCAATATCACAGGCGTCCTTCACTAAGAACTCTCCAGAGAATCTTCAATTAGAGTAAACATGTCCATGAGGTCTATCGTACAGTTTGGATAGATCCTATTGCACTCATTCATTTCGTTTCCGTGCCTCTCAGCCTCAAAAATTCTATCGGGTAGCTCCTCTTCATGTGTTGTAGATGGTCTGAAATTAAAGAAACAGAAGAATAATAAAAATTTAGCAATGGACCACTAGACAAGATACGAAATTCAGCATTCTGATACACGTTTCTTAACCAAAATTTCACGTAAAATGCGATGTGCACAACGAAAATTACCAAAATCGACCTCTTACGAAGATATTTAATGATTCTTGATGCGTAAATTCAAACCACCCGCTTAAGAAAACTCAATGCTCTACGTGATTCACATCGCGCGCTAAACGTTATCATGACAGTATCTGCGATTTAAAAATCTGGCATTCTCAATTTTGACGCTTTGGCTCAGCTATAGCAAATTGCTTATAGTTTGAACATCACATGGCGGGAAATGAACATTGCTCCATTGAGATGCTTGCTGAAACCGTTGTAGTGCGCGATTTGACTCGCGTAGAGCTTTGAGTTTCTTGTGAGCGGGCAGTTCAAATTTCTCGTGACCAATGTAAAATAAAAAAGTTGATATCTTTGTTACGAGTTAGTTTCAGTAATATTCGTTGCGCTAATCGTGTTCTACGTGAAATTCTGGTTAAGAGACATGTATCAGATTGCTTAAATTCGTACCTTGTCCACTGGTCCATTCAAGCAATTTCGACCCTGATTCGCTTCAAACAGCCTCTTTTTGAAACATATTTCTTTACCTAAAAACTCCAAACCACCATAGCTTCAGTTAAGTTTAAAATTGCTCAGCGTTTTCGTCCTATAATATTCCTGTATTCACTTTATTATTCATCACTCAACTTTGGGTTTTTTTGGACTGAGTTCCTTTTTTCCGTGGACGGTCACAAATGAACGTATTTCTGCTAATTGTAACTACGTGTATGAAGACATGAGCCATAAGACCCATAAGAATATATGCATAACAGGGCTCACGTTAGAATGCACATAGTTCCTTATAGCAGAAATACTTCTAAATAAAGTTATTAGACCTTCGGTTGAGGACGTTCCCCTCCCTTTTGAGACTCATGAAATCTGCAACATTACCCGCGAAAAATTCTACGGAGCGGCGTTCTTTCTATCCTTTCGTCAAAGTCGCCAAGGAACGTGTTTACTCCCACATGAGAAATAAGTTTTACTTTTTATTTCCGCTACATCAAAAGTTGTAAACAGCAATTTAAGACACTCAAAAGGTCTAAGGTTGCTAGTGGGAGAACTCTCATGCCTGTAGAATGGCGATGCACGTACCTGAGTAAAATGTCGAGTATTTGTCCAAAAAGACCATTGTGATCGAGAGGTGTGAGTGCAGCGTCGCATATCAACCTGAGCAAACATTCTTCGCCATCGAGGCCAGCCCTGGAATGAAATTATTGATTTTCATCAACTGATTTCGAGATCTAAAGACAAGGATTTTAGTTCATTGAGAACTAGGGGGCTCTGCCCCCTGGCCGTTAAGCGGCCCAACCCCCGAGGTGCTGCGCGGCCCTAAAGGGATAATAGTCGAAATCGCCTGTTGGCGGTTATTGAGCAAATAATTTTAATTGAATAACAAAGCTATGTCTCAAAGAAATATTTCCCGCCCAACGGATTTCTCCTTACTTTGAATTTTGATTCCTTTTTTGGAAGTCGGCCTTGACAGGGCCACGTACAGCTGTCCATGACTAAACTAAGGCCCCTGAAAGTAAAGACCTAGCTACTCTATTAAAACTCTGACCTCGTTTTTAGTAATTAGTATGCAGATTGTTTGAAAGATTAAAATTTGATTCAACAGATGAGCTTCAAAGGAAAAAAATTGCTACATCCAAAGACTAGCTCCGTCTGAATTTTAGCAATTTCCAAAAATAAAAACTTAAACGCATTGAAACGGTACTTAATGCAACGTTTCCACCAAACGTTTCTACTTTCTATAGATCGGATAGTGGAATCAGCGCGATGCCTCTCAGACGATTCTCCTTCAATTCGGAGGGTAGGCAGAACAGCGTCCCTCATGCACGAATAGTGGTGTCACTAGTTGACTTTTTAAGGAAGTCCGATCGCAATGAATTTCCTAATACATCGATAAAGATATTGCTTATTCTAATGACTCAATATTTCAGTCTCCTATAGATAAATGTTATGACAGTACGGTATCTCTTTTAAATTCAATAGGTTATTGAAACCTTTCCGCAAGAAGTGGTTTTCAGCGCCGTTAACGTCACGGCCATATATTTACGGACAAGATCTCCCAATCCTCTCACCTTCTCATGATTCCCTCGTATAAGAAAGTGTATTTCGCTAGTCTTTGCTTCTCTGACGGTAGAGCAGATCTCAATTTACACGAGAGCCCTGCTTCCCGCATAACTCTATGCTCTCTGGGGCTCATGTGAAAAAAGACATACGCCTTTACGTCAGAGGAACAACTTAGTGATCAGTGCCACTAACTCCGGCCCGTATGATTTACTCCTTTTTAACTATCACATTTAACTTACCTACAGAGTTAATGACCTGCTTTTAACAGTGTATGTTGACTTTCAATACAAAAATGAGAACAACCAATGTTCTATAATACTCTGAAAGTGTTTAAAATTACATATTTGGCGCAGACTCGAATTCTAGATTCTAATCCTAAGATAGCAAGTAACCAAACCTTGTGAATTTATTTTCTAGAATGCCGTACAGAAATTTCCGGTTAAAAGATTTCAAGGCCTCGCTCGGGCTCGGTGGAAAATACTGAGTCACGTTGTCAGGTAGATTGTAGTTGGCTTCAAAAATGTAGGAGAAAATTATTCCGTCCCTCGGTAGAGGCAGTGGGAAAGCTAGACCTAAAAATAACTGACATAAATGGAGTCAATATTTGAGAAACTTTGCATTGAAGCCTTGCGAGGCTTAAACTTCCTGGTGAAAGCCGCGCTAAGCTAAAAGAAGCGTGACTTTTTTGTTTTCTATAGGAAGAGCGGAAATTCAAAACCTGGTAAGCGTCATCTAGCGTTGCTAAGATTGGGCAACTGTTTTCCAAGCCATTGGCCTGAAAATGGCAATGCTCTTCGTGAAAATAAGACGAATACCTACTAATGCCGCAATCACACGCTGACAATTTCTACATTCAAGCCACATGCATGTGGCTTGAATGTAGAAGTCATCGGCCCGATGCCTGAATTTTGCGCAAAATTCAGCAACGATTCTCAGCGACCATCGGATAATGTCGGATTTGTCTGAACTATTCGAATAGATTTGATACAAATTTGGATGAAAATAACTCAAATTAGTGAAATTTCAGCTGTTGAGCGCTGACTGTTGACTGCCACATTCAGCTGCCAAATTCAGCATGTGATTGCGGCATAAGGGAAATTTTCCTCCGAAAAAATTTGACGAGGTGAGGCGTACTTTAATGAAGGAACGATATTTTGGCGCTTTTACTTTGTTGTACAATTTCAACAGATCTATCACCAGATCAATAGTACTTACCACGTTTAGAATTACCACGCTTCATGGGTGAATGCGAAAAATGCTTGTCTAAATAATTGCAACGTTTAAAAAACTCCGATTTTTTTTATTTCCTACGAGGAAATTAATCAAAATCCCTTCTTGCAATGTTGCATGTCCATCATAGAATGTGTGATGAAAATTCTTAGAAAATTTCAATTGAGGCTACTGACGAGTTTATCTCTGAAAAATAAAGTATGAGGAGAGCAGAGACATGCAACGTCGCAACCTGAGTGTTTATTGCCAAAATGTGTAGAACGCACCTCTGCTCCTGTGCATTCAAGTATCAATCACTTACTTAATTTGAAAGTTTTGTGAAATTAATCACTTTCCCGTTGCACGAAAAGTTTCGAAAAATACAATATTTCTAAAACCCTGGTAACACATACATTCCCTTTTCTATAATTAGAATGTAGGTGAGTAATTGAAATTTTTAAAATTCTATGTTTAAACTCACCTCGACATAGCTTGCTCTTCATCAATTCGCTGCTAGATTTTTTTTTGTCACCTTAGTTGTCGAAATTATATTTTCAAAAAATTGTTTAAATGAATATATGTATACTCACGCCGGAACTTGTTCCATCTGGATATGCAACATAACGTTTGGGTCTTGAGAGAATTTCGAAAGGTGGAGTCATGGAGTGAACCATGCACTGAGATAGTATGCCAACGAAAATCACAATTGATATGTTCAATTTATTCTCACAAAACTTGTTTAGTTGAATTTGCATGTTTGTGTAATTCTTTTTTATTTTAAAACTGAGAAGATGCCATCATCAAACTACGAGAATTTTCGAAACGTAAACATAAGTAAGTTGAAAATAAACGTCGTCTGCTCACCAGTGTAACCTCTCCATAGCGATCCCTTAGTTCCGAATGCAATCAACTCAAGTGAAAAATTCGTGCAAGAGTCAATTTCAAATATTTTGGTTGTTATTGCCTTGAAATCGAATTACCTGATGTTTCCATCAAGGAATCAAGTGTTATTTGATCGGTAATGTAAATGAACAGCGGATCAGTTTCAAATGCATATTTTTTTGCCAAGGAAAAAAAAATTATCATGTTTAAATTAGCCAAGGCGGTAAAATAATTAATTCTCCGGGTTCGTAATCGAAGACACTTCTTGAACGACTGTTTGTCTTAAGGAGGCCTTAACTTGACTAACATTGCGATCAAGCAGGGGGTTTAAGAACGTGTTTAGGTAACGCAGAATTATGAAGAGGACAATTTTGCAAAGTTTGTGTAAAATCCATCCGTTTAACTCCGGGAATAAATCCTTCCGATGGAGTACAATTCCGAAGGATTACAATTATTTTCCATTCCAAAAAAATAAGTCCACAAGGAAAGATTCTTTGACTTTGACAAACTGGAATACAGGCATGAACCCACTTGCGGTATATTTTCTGCTGTATTTTGTGTTTTTTGCAGTGGTAAATCTTTGTAATTCCTTTTAGGGATCTATTTCGGCAGTTAAACATTGAATTGGTCAGTTGCGCTGGTCAGTTGCGCTGGTTTGATGCTTTTTTCTTATATCACCTAAAAATAATAAGATCTATAAAAAACAGCAACTTTCTACGTTCAATAACAATCGAGACATCGCGCCTTAAAAAACTCGATTTATGACTTCGTGCACCGCGGTAATACATACCATGTTATGCAAAAGTTCGGTTGATGACGTCATAAATCGTGTTTTTCAAGGCGCGATATCTCGCTTAATATTGAACGTCAACAAATATACACAAATATAGACAAATTTTATTTTTAACTGATCTTCAAGAATCAAGCATCAAATCACGATTCTGTGATCAGCGCAACTGATCCATTTCCCTCAAGATTCGTAACGACTGCTCTCTGAGAGATGCTGCATCAGAGACGTTTTTAAATTCCCCTTCATTACAATGTAAACCAGATGGGTCTTCCCGAAAAAAAAAAAAAAAGATATTTGAAGAACGACTATGAATGCGACCCTGGATGATTTTGACACGCTTCCAGAGTCAGAAAAAAGAATTGAAGTTATTTTTCTCACTGCGCAACAACTCCTAAGTATAGCTGTGTCATTATCCCCTTTGAAATCAGAGACCCCAAATTTGGACTTATGGGTCACACAAAAACACACGAAAACTTCCAAAATGGATGAACATCACAATCGAAGTAAGATCACAGTCTGGTCGATTCGACGACACGGGCCACACAAGTGAAGAATTTGAACGGCCTAATCCTAGTGTCAATTTATGCAAGTAGATAAAACGGAATTACGTTCATTTAAATGTATGTGGAACAATCGATTTCCATGTTACAGAATCGACCATATTTAATGGATTGAATAGCGAGACAGAGCAGCGTTACCAACTCGCGAGAATTACCGCTGCGGACAGTTCTTTGCGATGTATCGATTGATCTGTCATTTAAACCGATGGGAAAGGATCGGTAAATAGGGTGTTCGCAACGAACACCTTAATGATCGATTCTTTACTATAGCTTCAAATGGGGGAATATCGATAATCGATCTTTCACGCCACGCCACCTGCTGCGGAAGTGTTGATCTTCCTCTTTAGCACCTTCAACAGTTCGTCACTTGGTTGGCATGAGGACGTAACTACACATTGAGGTGAACCCGGAAAAGCATTGAGTTGTATGGAGGACAGGGTTCATTGCAGAGTTTAGTTACGCCCTTATGTCGGGAGGCCGACGAGTTAATGGATATGGTTAGCGAGTCATGACTCCTAGGTCCATAGAATTCTGAGGGCTTACAGCGAGCCTTCACGGACACATTTTTCATTTCATTCCTTTGCTCTGGATTGCTCCAGAAAATGGTCTCTAACTGTGCAGGATATTATAAGCTCGAGTGGATTGTGTCATTTGTTAACTTGTGAAATCTTTATCAATACCAATTGTCTATTTGCACATTTAAAATAATCAGTCTCAAAAGGTTTTTCTTCATAATTTTTCCTCTCGTGTTGTTATCAATCTTAAATGCTGAAGCAAAAATCTATCGTTTCATCTGCATTTTTTGCCTCGTTGGCATGTTATGTCAGTGCAGGATTCGAAAAATCAATGCGGAGTCTCATATTTCCACCTGGAATTGGAAATAAAATTCAGGTAAACTTCTGCTCTTTATCACGAGCTTTTTCGATGCAAAAATGGAATATTACATGTAGGCTAGAAATGACTTGGGTGCGATGTTCCTCTGCGATATTTATGAGTTTTACACATTCTATATCTGTCTAAGAAAAGTGTTTCTCGGTAAAGTCCGGGAATCTTATTCATACAGCGAGGAAAACCCTTTAAAATCTTAACAAAAAAAGGGGGAGAAGATGAACACCATGTATCTGAATTTTTTAGAATGTCGGAAAGAGGCTGATTAACATTCAAATTTTAGTTCGGTTTCTTAATGCCCTCTGGTTTTTTATTGCATCTAACCACTTCTGCAACTACTTCCCTAGCTGAGGGGACTTTATTATCGTGTTAAATTTAATTATGATCGGAAGACTTCGAAGACGACGAACCTAAACAAAATTCCAACAATATGATAACACCCGCTCCCAAGAATTCGACTGAAATATTCTTTTTATATATATATATATATATATGAGAGCGCTATAAAAGCTATATATATATAGCTTTTATAGCGCTCTTTGGCGCTGTGCGACGCCTAATCGCCACAAAGCTCGGTCTTCCAAAAAATAAAAATATTCTTTCTCTGGCTCAAAATTCTGATTGCTGAAAATTTGAAACTTAGTGTTATGTCGAAGTTTGTTGCTTTTGTTGAAATTGTTATTTTTTAAATGAAATACATTGTGTATCCATTTTTAAATTTCTCAAAATAAGTTAATGCAGACATGAATGAATGAGCAAATGAAAACATGGACAAAAAAAATTGTAATAAATTATCGCTAAACAAATCTTTTTTGCAAGACCGGTTGTGAATGATAAAAAAATAAGCCAAGTTGCAATATAGAGCTAGAGATTTTAGTTTAGCCAATCAAAAATCCCGGAATGCATCAGCAAACCTCATTTGAGGTTTGTTGTTTTTTCTATATAGATTTTAATTTCTTTGTATGTTTATCTCTCAAGTTTTTGACAGGTTTCGGTATTCCAGTGTCAGATCTCCCTGAACCATACAGCATTACGTATGGCTACGTCATTAAAACCAGCATCGATATTCTCAATAATGTTTCTGTCTTCCATGATCCTTACGTAGAATATCAAAAAAGCCATCAACCATCAAGATGGGATATTTACGAGCTGATTCAGAAAGTGATCGATGGGTGAGTTTTTCCTCAGGTATAGTAATAAAAACTAGCCGTGAACAGGTTATTTGGACGGACATTATCGAAACAAATCGACAAATCCACGAATCCCGCTCAAGGTTCCGTACCTTCAGTGCTAGCGTTTGCTTTCTTCGTCCAGCGTTCAAGTCTCTTTTGCACTTCACCTTGATTATGTATGGCATCACTGTTCCCTTAAATTCAGAAAGGTGTATCGGTGGCTGGAGTGCTAACTTATGGTGGCGATACGTAGTGCTGAAATATGCGCGTGGTACTCCGACGCAAGTCGGCTAGCATTCAACCGAAATTACAAAAAAAAAAAAAAAAAAAAAAAAATTAACATTGCCGTGAGAGGGAAGGGGGTTGAGCAGAGCGTTAAAAAAATTGTCACGAAGGGACAGCCCTACGTCACGAGTATGCGTTAAATGGGAAGGAGAGTCATTATATTCACTTTTCACCACTACGCACATTATGAACGACCCCTCTTTGACTTTAACCATCCTTGGAGAAAACCACTTATCTCTGCGGTTAAAATCAGCAGATGTATCTTGTCTTTATCGGAAAACAATGTTCATCAAAAAGGTATAAAAAAACTGTCATTTATCCGGGCGAAAGTGAGGACATTAAAAATTATGAAGTAGAAAGCGAGAATTTTCTACAGAAAAATAGATATTGGTTTAACGTGTATACTTTAGCTTACATACTTCAGTGTACACACTTAAGCGTGAATACAAGAGTTTGTGTTTATGAAAAGCGAGAAATTCTAGTCATTTCATAGTTCCAATGACTTACCTGTACTTCTGGTGACGTGTCTGTAATTCTGGCGACACCCTTATTTCTGCACTTTTCGGTGACCTCATCAACGGAGAAAAAATCAGTAGATTTTTTGACGAATGTTCGGAGCATATATTTAACAAGAATCCACATAGATTTTGCTTTAAGAAAGAAATTTTATCTGGACAGTGAAGAATATAAGAGAAAAATCCCTGAAAAGCCTCGGAAATTTAAGTTTTAACACCCAAAACTCTTTGTCTGGTGTACTAATGGATATTTCCAGCATTATCTATTATAAAACCACCAATTTTCAAAAAGATATTTGCTTTTCTCATTGTGCCAAAGTTATAACCAAAGAAAAGAAGAGAAAAAAGAGAGAAAAGAAGGGCAAAGTGATTCGTCACGAAAATTACAACTTATCACGGTTCTCTAACCACAGAATTCTTTTTATAATCAAACAAGACTCGAAAGTGCGTGGTGAAGATATTCTACTGACAGTGGGACGTACATGGCTTCAAAAAAATGTTTGGTTCTTAAAGGTTCAAGAACCTTTTTTTTTTTTGAAAAAAAAAGAAAAAAAGAAGAATTGAAGACTCAAATTCGGTTCTCAATGTAATTTTCTTTATTACATGAGTTAAATCAGTGAAAATCCCAAGCTTTTTTTTTAAAAACTTATAATTGTTTTCCAGTCTAGGTTACAATGGCCGAGAATGCTTGCTTCGCTTGATTTGTGAGACTGCCTCCACCCTCTTCGTTAAAGACAATTTGGTCTCGGAAATACTTCACGTTTTGTTGACGTAAGTAATCATCCGACGTATAATTATTCAGACTTATTTAAACAAGCATAACTTACGTATCTTGATGACGAAGTCATTTAATTCTGAGTGAGAAAAAAATTAAAGAAGTATACGTAATGAACCTCAATAAGTTGGACGAGTACAGTAAGTTTATAAACATGAAAATCTGGGAGGGCTCTGAAAACTGAAAAAAAATATTGTTCTGTTACAGACCGTCTTTCACGAAAGATTGGACTCCCGTTTCACTTCAAGAAAAGGAATTTTATAAAGCTGAGCAGTTAGGCAGAACAAAGCTGAAGACTTGCTTTTATCATTTTCGAAAATGCAAACTCAGTCTCTTGGATATGTTTTCCGAGGTTGCTTACGAGTCCAGAGAGCATTTTCTGTACAATATGTAATATCAAAGTGACAGGTAAGCCCAGGGCCGTAGTTCCAGGAAAGCAGTGGCGATTCTTCAAGGTTGGCGACACTGGTTTTCCTTTTCAGCATTATTCCAAAAGGATTAGTCCCTTTTTGCAAAATGGACTTAATTCTATCAAACGGAACTAAGCGTCATATGGGGAGGAAGGGAGAGGGGGCTTGGATTGGCGGGTGTTGCGGAGCGCGATACTCGTTCCCTCCTATAATGACGCTTAGTTCCGTTTGACAGAACGCGCTATCCAGAATTCTAAAATCCTCAAAAGAAACTCAATTTCGCGCTTATTTCCGTTTAACAGAAATACGTCCAAATGAATGTCTAGCCATGCTTAATACTTTCTTCAAACCAAAAATAATGACAAATGTAAAAATCGGCTGCGTAATTTACATATTTTAAAAACCCAAAGTCTGCATTTCCCTATGCGCACAACCTGATGGCATTAGGAATATTAACGCATTTTAAAGCCACTGTCCCCGTTTAATTACCCTCCCCCTCTTTCTTCCTATTGTTTTGCCACCGCCACGTTTTGAATGTTGCCCCTTTAAGTTTGCAACAGCATCTACGGCCTTGAAAAGTGCTTTATCGACTGAGCAATGCTAAATATAAGGTATATTGCTGATATTTTTTAAAGGACTAATGTTCTACACAATAAAACACAATACTGTTCAAAATTTTCTATTTACAAACGGTTCATTACAATCAGATGAATCAAGCCTACCTAAGTCTGAGGATCACCTTACAATGTCCCCCGGATCAAGTATATACAAATGAGCAACATTGTTCGAAATATATATGATACGTATTCCATTTACTTCCCAGTGATTCAAATTGAGACTTTTTAAAAGAGCATTTTTAAGTGCTCAAAAATTTATTTTTAGGAAAATATGAAACTCTTTGACCCTCTTCATTTTTAAAACAGATAGCAGTTGATAAATAGATATAGATGTATTAGATAATGCAATGAGGAGCAAATATTTGCGGATGGAAACTTAATCGTACCACAAAAAAGCTAGAAAAAAACTCAAAAAGTTTAAAAAGCTTAATAAAGCTATAAAAAGTCTGGTAAAACAATGCTGAAGGCATATTGAGTAAAAGAATAATAGTTATGTCATTACAAAATCTTACTTTGACATCAATGGATGGTGCAACGAAATGCATTATTTTTCTCATAACAAAACTATTTCGATGGTGAAACTGTAGAAATGCATATCTCGGTTTGCTCAGTAATGTTGTTCAGTAAATAATAATTTTTAACATTTGTAATACTTATGTCAACCAAAAAAAAACTTAGTAATTCGCGGATTTGTTTGTTTACCTACGGTTTTATGCGGCTCATAAAAGTGGATTTGAAATCCATGTCTTTATGTATAAATACATATGTTGATGAATTGACCAGCGTAGATTTTTAGAATGAGTATCTTGATTTGCGGCATCGCAGACTTCCTAAAGTATTCAGCTATTTCTTGAAAACTTCGATGATTTATATTCTCTATGTAGAGAATTTTCCGTAAAATTTTCAAGGCATGACGTTGGTTTGGTCTCCTTTTAAAAAAATAAAAAAAGAGAGAATACATGGAAACACTGCTACCGAGATACGCATTTTTGCAGTTTTACCGTCTATATGCAGGTTGTTGCGGGAGAATTCTCAGGAGTAGAATGTATGTTTCTGCAAACATTGATAAGTCGTGAAAAAAAGGCTAACGCGGTCTTTATAAATACATACTTTCCAGATTCTTACGAAAGGACATACTTAGCACGGATCGCAATCAGTTTGCAGTGACATATTCAGCTTACAAGTACAGACCATATTCTTTCCGAATAGATTTATTGAGAATAAAATTTTCAAAGATGTTTAAAGATCAATCTTAAGTTGATGAAATTATATGCGGCTGTATCTTCATTTTTTTGATAGACCAGAATCATCAGCTCTGTACCAGAAATAATTTACCTCTCATTATGAAATGAATATGATGTGAACCGGGTGTTAACAATAATTTTTAAGACAAAAAAGTTCATTCCTTGACGTGAAACCCTAATAATGTTAAGATAACTAAAGCCTTTGCTGAGTTTTAACAATTTATTCATCGAAGTTAATACGAGTCCCAACCGAGCTTGGAAAAAAATGAAGGTTCAAGGTGATTTAAAGCATAGACATTGAATTCTTGATAAAAGGTCAACACCAAATTATATTGTTGTACTGGTTCGGAGAGGGGTACATTACACCCATTTGGTTTACCGGACACACGGTATTTTGCCCCATGCCGTTGTAACTTAGTATAGTATCTGCAAGCACCACTTGTGATGGAGAGAGTGTGCTTGATGTGGTGAAAAGCATGATAATCGGCTGATTCATGTATGAGTACGGCAGTTGACCATCTGTAAAATGTCGAGGTAAAATCAAACATAACAGGGGACGGTTATTTCTTTGAAACTGTAAAATCGATATTAAAATAACTCAAAATCACGATGGACCCCATTCCCCTTGTAATGTAAAAACCAGATTCATCAAACTAGAAACTTAAAATCGTTTCAGAGGCACTAACGTACTTTGGTGTACAGTCAACTGGTTTCGTTAATCATTGAACTAAACCTCCAAACCAACCTAACCTAACCAACCTTCCAATCTTGTGATTGGAAGGGCGGCTGTGTCAATAAGACGATTGAGAACGGGACCAAGGGCCTCTCTAATTAAGTCGTGTCGCATAATATCGACTGGTTGTCGGCCAGCGAGGAGGCGCCCTTAGTTAGTAGTTGTTCGACTTAACTGAGGGCCTGCCCCTGCGGTCCCGGTCTGAGTTGTCTCATTGACAAAGCCGTCCAATTACGAACTGTCATGATAAAAGGATGGTGCTGTGCTAGGTAAATGATGAAAACCTCATGATGTACGCTTGTATATGCTATGCTCTGGGTGAAGACTCAAGAAAGCTCTCCGACGTATGGAAGGGAGAGGGACCCACGATTTACCGTAGATGGCAACCCGACGAGAGTCCCGTCAAGCTGAGGGAATCGCCCCACGAATGCACGTAGGGAGAACGGAGACCAACTGACCAATCGAGCTTGAACTGAATCAGTTGGTTGGGCACTCTACCGATACAGTACGCTGTTGAGCTTTTATACTCTGGAGAGAAGGTCGAGCATTCGAGATCAGAGGCCAAGCCGCGTAGATGCTACTGCAGTCAATGAAACTCGAAAGCTCTGACGTCAATCTCCAAACGCACACAAGCCCAACAGTGCACCGTTCTTTCTTCCCATCACAGAACCTAGTTTTATTGCATCTTAGTGCAGTCTTGACTATTAGGAATACCCTCCATTTCAATAATAATCCTGCAGGTACTGAAAATTAGTGAGACCAAAGCTTTTTCTTTAGTTGATACTGAAATGGGAAATCAAAATTATTCATGTTGTATGCCGTAAGGAGATTTTTTAGCGGTGAAACATGTGCTTTATTTAAATGTTTCTCATAAATAACGACTGTAGTGGCAAATGTCGACTGAATTATTGTATGATATTAAAAAATTTCACTGATAGGTTATTTTAATTTCTAGACCTTTAAAGCGTTGTATCATCAAAAGAGGGAAACTTCATCTCCTTAGGCCAAGTGTAAAGGATGGTGATTTCAAAAAAGTACTTACTCAACATAGATCCTCCAGATGCACCACCTTGGCTTCCTCCAGACATCGAAGAGGAGCCACTGCCGCACAGTCCTCCTATACCTCCTCCATTACCCGCAGAAGGCGATGATCCAGCATTGGGCTGAGGGTTTTGCTGGCCTCCACCAGCTGTAGACTGAGGTGAAGTTGGACCCATCCCCCCTCCAGAGTTGGGCTGAGGATTTTGCTGGCCTCCACCCGATGAAGTGACTGGCGGGGATGATGAAGGCGACGGAGGAGACGGAGTAGGAGTTGATGGAGACGGTGGAGGGG